ATATATTACAATACATTTATATACTATATGGATTTAAAAATACACTTGTGCGTTTGTTTATACATGTTTATTATAACATTTTTTTAATCGATTGAGTTTGATTATTGGTTGGAAAAATCTTACTTTCGTGACTTTAACCGACTTTTACTCTTAGAATAAAAAATAGCTCGTGTGATGTATGTTTACGTGTGGTGCACCATGTATACTCATCAGTTGATCGATTTGACGTGGAATAATCCGTATGTATACCTATACCAAGAAAACAGCTGCTCTTGTTTACCGACAAATGCGCGTCAGTCGCATCGTAGAGTTGCGAGGAAAATATTTATATGCCAGTACGCCACTAAAAATTCTGCTCCACTTTACGTCCGTAACGTAACGTCGTCTTCGAGAGTAAACTGTCCACATATAAAATGTAAGGATGGAGCGCCTTCAGGTGGAGGTGTTTGGGGAAGTGCAATAGGAGTGCAAAAAAAGGAAAAAAGAGTTGAGCACAGTGAGTTGAAGTTTAAAAAAAGAAACAACAAGAACGAAAGGGCCTATTCAGCGACCTAGATTATCCATCTTGCTGCAAGGGGTTAGTGATGCCTTTTGTTCTACTAGTGTATTTCACCAGATTTTTGCCTTTTTGATCGATTTAAAGTTATAATTGGCTCCTAGTATGATCTGATGTTTTTATTTTTCTTAACTTCAGAGGCCAAAGTCCAAGAGTTTAAAAGCTGGACAGTCGAAGAAACTAGGATATCGTGGATTGGAAAGTAATCAGGTTGGCTGGGAAAGAGAATGAATCACTGGATTTTGTGTCAATGAACCTGCAATGCCTTGTTTTCCTGAGGCACTGATCTGAGGTTAGGTAAGGAGACAAATGATGAGTCAAGGCTTCTACCTGCTATATGCTGCTGGTCATTGTTTTTTTTTACATGTGTACCAATCTAAGATCTATTGTTAAGAATAGAAACATTTTTTTCAAAACTGAAGAGTTTGTGTAGTTTTGAGTAGTGTGATGTTGCTATTGATTCGACTGACACTGTCTAATTGTCAAGATTTTTACCAGAGTGTATTTACATTTTATAGAGTTGATAAATGACACACATAAGAATTTAAATTGGATAGCTTGTGTATTCGTGAGATCTTTTTATAAATACTTTTGCTACACAAAGCTTTTTATTGATTATGTAACTGGTACCAGAAACAAAGACATTAGCTTGCATTAATTAAAGATCTCTTATATATAAATATAGTGTAGAATCAGTGAGATAAATAGAACATTATTTCCATTATTTGCCGTAATACACACAATCTTACTTGATAATTTTAAATGTTAAATTTTTAATGGCTAAAAAATACTAATCCACTATACATTTTCGGTTAATAGTTTGATTGATATATAGTTGATACGGAATTTTTGAAATTTTAAAAATAAATTGCTTTATTGTTTCAGTTATCTTTCATAATGAATGCGCGCACACAGATGTTCGAGCTGTCGATGGAGGGACGTCAAGTAGACGAGGCAGTAGCTAGTATCTTCCACACAGTCATGTTTCACCGAACTCTCGGAAAATTTAAGTACAAAAAGGAGGGTAGCTATTCTGTTGGAGCGATCGGCTACCAAGACGTCGATTGTAACTTCATCGACTTCACGTACGTCTGCTGTTCATCCAAGCTTCTCGACCAGACCATCAGGCGTGAGATTTCTGGTTTCTCAGAAGCCCTGCGCTCCAACACCAGCCCGGGCTCTGGACAGATATCTCTCGAGTTTTTCCAGAAAAAAAAGAATCACTGGCCTTTCTCTCCTGAATGCATACCCTGGGAAGTATGGACAGTCAGACTGGAACTGATCAAGCTAGCCACTGAACACGAAAGACAAATGTGCCGTGAAAAAGTCGGGGATGTGCTGACAGAAAAGATTCTTTGCATCACCGACTTCATGAATCGCCACCACTATCTGCCCAAAATACCTAACGAAGCTGAGTTGGATCTCATCTTTGATACAAGCTATCCAGATGTGCAGCCATATCTCTTCAAGCTGTCATTCTCAACTTCTGGGCCGTCAAGTAGCAACATGAGCAATACTATGAAAAAGCTCATAAAAGAGACTTTGTCTATTTAGTCACGCGTCACGTTTGCTTCGTTTGAAATTTTATCAACCCCTACAATTTTTCACAGCATGATTGATTGGTTGACAATTTAAAGTAAGTCCTTAAACATTATTTTTACTGTTGAAATTGTTGGTTGCCCACATTAAAGATTACATCACTACATCAACAAGAGAAGTATTGAATAATTCAAGTTATAATTGATCACAACTGACTCTTTACCTAAATGGTCTAATATTTGAAGTTTTTTAATTTTACGATTAAAATAAACTAATATTTGAGAAGTTGATAAAGAAGGTCCATATTCAACTTCTAACTGAATCTCGCAACTGTTCAGAAATATATTAGCAAAGATTTTTTGCTAATAAAATGATAAAATTCACTTTTAAAGTGCACATTCACATCTTGTAAAGAAGTAAAGCACATCAGAAAACTATGTCTTTACGTAAAATATTTTAAAGATTTGCACATTCTAGTAAGAAAGACAATTTTTTGGCAAGCAATAACTTTTTCAATAAAATAAAATAAAAATTAAAAAAGCCTGAATTATTTGTTGAACTGTGAATTAAAAAACTTGAAGGCAAAGAGTTCATCCAGATAGGATGGACAGTTTCATGAATTTAAATATGGGGACTTAAAAAAATTTCATACAACTAAATACGTAGTATGTCCATGAGATAATTAAGAATTTACAAGTGGGCCCAAAATTGATTTTAATGGTAAAAAGAGTATACACATTTGAATTATTTGTGCGATGTGAAAAAAAACTTTTCTTGCATGTACGTGTGGTTTAGTTTAGTAATTACTTCAAAAAAGCTAAAATTGCCAGAATTGCTAAAATTAACGTCTATGAATTAATCCTTATTTTGGTTGATTTTTATGGGGTGCTTAGAGAATACGTTAAGATGAAATTTATGGAATACTAGTACAAGTATTATGTGTGCTTGCACTACGTTCTTAACAAAAAAAAAAAAAAAAAAAAAAAAAAAAAAGAATTATTTTTATACTATTGGCAAAACGATAATTGAACTAGTTTTGATGTATATACATACATGCATCAGCATGAATTATTGTAACAAAATTAATAAAAGATAAAATTTAACTGATCTCCTAATATTAGAAAGCTTGCGTTGATCAAGTTAAACAACTGTATCATTAAAACAACGCATATATATATATAATGTAGTGCGTGACCGAGAATCACTGAAACAGATTCTTCGTCGAATTTTACCGTAAAATGAATAAATATATAGCGACACTGGCATATTTGTAAAAAGGTTGATAAAGGAATAGAATTGTAATATAGCTAAAAACTTTTCTCCTATATCATAAACGATCACGCGAAAACAAATTTAACATTATATTTAATGATAAGTTAACACAAATGCAAACATATGTATATGTATGAATTTATTATACGAGCGGTAAAAAAAAACAAATGTCCTTTACGTTTAAGGAACACTTTGATAATAATAAATTTTGTTAAAAAAACTACAACCCGTTTTTACTCATAATAGGAAAGAAATAACGCGATAAATGTATAATTTAAAAAATCATGAATATTTGCAAATTATTAAATTTGCTCTATTTTGTACACAAACGCAAAAACAAGTAGTTTTTTATAACTGAAGAGTGAAATATTTTTTTTTTCTTTTGGCAAATTCAATATAAAATATACCTGCTTCTAACTTTTCATGATACTTTCAGAATGTACTCCCAACGAGTGGCATTAAAAATCTGGTGATTTTTTTGACTAGTGAATTATGGTACTACCAAACGCCATATCGATTTATTTTAATGATCCATCCGGCCTTTTTAAGTTTAATGTCACACACGTAATAAAAGTTAAAAATCAGTTCATTATCCGTTCTGTAATTTACGTCCTCGGCTTTTATTGACTGATTTCCTTGGAAAAACAGCTGAATCTACTGATACTTGCAAGAAAATTGGTCAAACTTTTTTTGGAGCCTTAAATAAGTAGCTATAAAAAGTAAGTGGACACCTCAGGAACTGCTGCTAATTGGATGCTAGATCTCCATAAAACCTACAAAAGTATTACTAATTGATAGTTTTATGTTGCTTTATTTAGGGAGTATAAGTTTTTGTACGTGCCAATACGTACACGTAAAAACATTTAGTTTAACAGTATCAGCATCTCTACATTGTTTAGCTGAATTTACGTACGCGTGGTATATGTGCACCCTTGAACGAAAAAAAAAAAAATGTACAAATCGATATTACTGCGTATATTTCTCTTTTTTATTGTCAAGGTTAAGTTTAATTTTTTCAGAGTCGATAAATCTGGATATTATTTTTATCGTTGCACGCCATTAAACTCGATCTGATCGTGAATTTTTTATTTTTGGTAACTCATATTATATAAATATGCAAGTAAAATTTATGTCATGACGTAATATCTGACGTGATAAAAAAAAATCACCTTTTATTTGAAAATATCTCTTATTGAGTTATTAATTAGTGGTTAAATACAGAAAATTCTTTAAATACAAAGTTTACAATTTATGTACTAAATACAATTGTAAATATTGTAATTCACCAGTACCTATTCGTTTGTACATCATTGGATTATAGTCAATCTAAGAGTTGTTTAAAAACCAGTTTTAGTTTAAAACTAGGAAAAAAAAAAATTAACCTTTAATTTTTTACTTTGAAAATTAACATTTTTTTTAGCTGGTTTGATTGGATAATAAACCCTGTATTATTAGTTATGCTTTGCAATTAAAAAAATTTTATTTAATTACTTTTAAAATTTTAATAGTTTAATTGAACT